GGTCTGATACAAAGATTTTTCACTTTTTAGTGAAAAACATGCATACAATTTTAGTCTCAACAGGCTTATATTTGAACCACTTGCTATCCTACAGAAGAAAAGAAAGATATTATGTGACATAAAACAGGTACAAAAGACATTGTTAAGTGCTTTTTATACAAATTTAGTTAGGTCTTTATAATGGACTTCAACTTTTTTGTTCCAAGCTCCTCACATTTAACTTGATCCAAACAGGGCGTTAAGACGAGGATCATATATACAACACATTTTGCACATATTGTCCGAGATAATCTTCTTTTCTGTAGATTCAGAGTTCACAAATGAGTAATACAACTGGATTGAAGCATAGAAACACAAATATTGACACATAAAAACCTGTCAGATAGAAAGTCAGAATGCCACTTATGCATCAAAATTGAAAAAGCTATGAAATGCTTATTTTGACCATAAAATGCCAAAATTGGTCATTTTTGCAGAAATTCTATCAAATAAAAGTTTAAATCCTTTAGTTTTATGCTATTTGATAAATTGACACCATCAAATCATTCAGGGGAGTTGCCAAAGTACAGATTCTATATTTCCTGATTTCACCTCTTAGGTCCGAGTACACAGTTATTTCGTAGTGCATTTCTTTTAGACAATAAATGAAAATTAAAAAAATCCCACCTGCGCTTTCTCAATTATATTTTTACAGTGTGTTGTACTACTTTTGGGACAAATTATATCAAAATTATAGAAAACTTCATCGGCTCTAACTCAAAATATGGACAATTTCATGTTAAGGGGGTCTTCAAATCTTCTGACAGCTTCCGAAGTGCTAATTTTTAACATTTTTCAGCTGGACCAAATCACTACTTTACTTTAAAATTCATGACCCAAATTTTTTTACAGTGTCATTTCACCCCCCTACTTACTATTTGAGTCATAAAACATGGAGAAATAAATTTGGAAGGGGTATAAAAAAAATCGACAAGTAACACACTGTCCACACTAGGGACTATATTCGTGGACAACGAAAATCAAAGGACGATAACTGTGTACCCGGACCTACTTAGTAGGGTAGAAAAAGTTGACCAATCTTAATGAAACTTGGTATGACCAAAGCTTATTAAATTATAAGACTGCTTACAAAGTTTCATGGTAATAGGATTTATATTATAGACAATATGACTAATTCTATATTCAACTTTGCGTATTAAATTTAGACGTTAAAATTGAAAATTTTCAACTATCAACATTTGGGGCTTAAAAAATTAAAATATTGCAAAAAAATACTTTTGAAATGCCTTAATATATAATATATTATGTATTAAAAGCAATAGAGTACTCATTTGATTTATCAGACTAATCATAATTATTAAAAAGTCAAATTTATATGAGCCTGTGGCTAAAAATGGAGGTTTTCCAATGAAGGGGGGCCTTACATGAAGATGTAATATTTTCCAGCAATTTTAAATTTGTAAAGCTTTTTGGTTATAAATAATCCTTACATATGTATTTAATGTACTTTAAATGGAAAGAAAACTTACAAATAACATATCACATTAGTTTAAAAGGGTCTTAGGCCAAGTAAGACTGAAAATAATTTAGGGTCAATTTAGGCCGTATCACATATTTACATTTAAAAATGCATATTGAAGCTATAGGAAATAAAATTTTGTGTCTTTTCTATCATTTCTATACTCAGGTGACATGATACAATAAATCTGAGCACAAAAAGACTCTTGCATTCAACTTTTTTTGCAGACAGTATGGTCTGATACAAAGATTTTTCACTTTTTAGTGAAAAACATGCATACAATTTTAGTCTCAACAGGCTTATATTTGAACCACTTGCTATCCTACAGAAGAAAAGAAAGATATTATGTGACATAAAACAGGTACAAAAGACATTGTTAAGTGCTTTTTATACAAATTTAGTTAGGTCTTTATAATGGACTTCAACTTTTTTGTTCCAAGCTCCTCACATTTAACTTGATCCAAACAGGGCGTTAAGACGAGGATCATATATACAACACATTTTGCACATATTGTCCGAGATAATCTTCTTTTCTGTAGATTCAGAGTTCACAAATGAGTAATACAACTGGATTGAAGCATAGAAACACAAATATTGACACATAAAAACCTGTCAGATAGAAAGTCAGAATGCCACTTATGCATCAAAATTGAAAAAGCTATGAAATGCTTATTTTGACCATAAAATGCCAAAATTGGTCATTTTTGCAGAAATTCTATCAAATAAAAGTTTAAATCCTTTAGTTTTATGCTATTTGATAAATTGACACCATCAAATCATTCAGGGGAGTTGCCAAAGTACAGATTCTATATTTCCTGATTTCACCTCTTAGGTCCGAGTACACAGTTATTTCGTAGTGCATTTCTTTTAGACAATAAATGAAAATTAAAAAAATCCCACCTGCGCTTTCTCAATTATATTTTTACAGTGTGTTGTACTACTTTTGGGACAAATTATATCAAAATTATAGAAAACTTCATCGGCTCTAACTCAAAATATGGACAATTTCATGTTAAGGGGGTCTTCAAATCTTCTGACAGCTTCCGAAGTGCTAATTTTTAACATTTTTCAGCTGGACCAAATCACTACTTTACTTTAAAATTCATGACCCAAATTTTTTTACAGTGTCATTTCACCCCCCTACTTACTATTTGAGTCATAAAACATGGAGAAATAAATTTGGAAGGGGTATAAAAAAAATCGACAAGTAACACACTGTCCACACTAGGGACTATATTCGTGGACAACGAAAATCAAAGGACGATAACTGTGTACCCGGACCTACTTAGTAGGGTAGAAAAAGTTGACCAATCTTAATGAAACTTGGTATGACCAAAGCTTATTAAATTATAAGACTGCTTACAAAGTTTCATGGTAATAGGATTTATATTATAGACAATATGACTAATTCTATATTCAACTTTGCGTATTAAATTTAGACGTTAAAATTGAAAATTTTCAACTATCAACATTTGGGGCTTAAAAAATTAAAATATTGCAAAAAAATACTTTTGAAATGCCTTAATATATAATATATTATGTATTAAAAGCAATAGAGTACTCATTTGATTTATCAGACTAATCATAATTATTAAAAAGTCAAATTTATATGAGCCTGTGGCTAAAAATGGAGGTTTTCCAATGAAGGGGGGCCTTACATGAAGATGTAATATTTTCCAGCAATTTTAAATTTGTAAAGCTTTTTGGTTATAAATAATCCTTACATATGTATTTAATGTACTTTAAATGGAAAGAAAACTTACAAATAACATATCACATTAGTTTAAAAGGGTCTTAGGCCAAGTAAGACTGAAAATAATTTAGGGTCAATTTAGGCCGTATCACATATTTACATTTAAAAATGCATATTGAAGCTATAGGAAATAAAATTTTGTGTCTTTTCTATCATTTCTATACTCAGGTGACATGATACAATAAATCTGAGCACAAAAAGACTCTTGCATTCAACTTTTTTTGCAGACAGTATGGTCTGATACAAAGATTTTTCACTTTTTAGTGAAAAACATGCATACAATTTTAGTCTCAACAGGCTTATATTTGAACCACTTGCTATCCTACAGAAGAAAAGAAAGATATTATGTGACATAAAACAGGTACAAAAGACATTGTTAAGTGCTTTTTATACAAATTTAGTTAGGTCTTTATAATGGACTTCAACTTTTTTGTTCCAAGCTCCTCACATTTAACTTGATCCAAACAGGGCGTTAAGACGAGGATCATATATACAACACATTTTGCACATATTGTCCGAGATAATCTTCTTTTCTGTAGATTCAGAGTTCACAAATGAGTAATACAACTGGATTGAAGCATAGAAACACAAATATTGACACATAAAAACCTGTCAGATAGAAAGTCAGAATGCCACTTATGCATCAAAATTGAAAAAGCTATGAAATGCTTATTTTGACCATAAAATGCCAAAATTGGTCATTTTTGCAGAAATTCTATCAAATAAAAGTTTAAATCCTTTAGTTTTATGCTATTTGATAAATTGACACCATCAAATCATTCAGGGGAGTTGCCAAAGTACAGATTCTATATTTCCTGATTTCACCTCTTAGGTCCGAGTACACAGTTATTTCGTAGTGCATTTCTTTTAGACAATAAATGAAAATTAAAAAAATCCCACCTGCGCTTTCTCAATTATATTTTTACAGTGTGTTGTACTACTTTTGGGACAAATTATATCAAAATTATAGAAAACTTCATCGGCTCTAACTCAAAATATGGACAATTTCATGTTAAGGGGGTCTTCAAATCTTCTGACAGCTTCCGAAGTGCTAATTTTTAACATTTTTCAGCTGGACCAAATCACTACTTTACTTTAAAATTCATGACCCAAATTTTTTTACAGTGTCATTTCACCCCCCTACTTACTATTTGAGTCATAAAACATGGAGAAATAAATTTGGAAGGGGTATAAAAAAAATCGACAAGTAACACACTGTCCACACTAGGGACTATATTCGTGGACAACGAAAATCAAAGGACGATAACTGTGTACCCGGACCAGAAGACGCCACCAAAATTCAAACTTGATCTGTGTTTTGTGGTAATAAACATTGTGGATAAGTTTCATAACATTTGGTTGAGCCAAACTAAAGTTAGAGAACGGAAGCGAAAAATTCAGCAATTTTTCCATTTGTAAAAGGGCATAACTCTCGAACGGTAAAAGTGATGCCACCAAAATTCAAACTCGATCTGTGATTGTGGTAATAAGCATTGTGGATAAGTTTCATAACATTTGGTTGAGGCAAACTAAAGTTAGAGAACGGAAACCAATTTTGGGACGGACGTACAGACAGACAGACAAGGATAAAACTTAATGCCCCCTCCGCTACGGCGGGGGCATAATTACGATGATAGATGACGGAGGACAACAGAGAATAAGTGATGGCAATATCTCAAATATGGCTCACAAGGCGGGGACAATGCAAGCTTAAAGGACAACACAAGATTTAATGGATATAAATTTTTTTTAAAGTATTTTATTATTTTAAGTATCATGATGTGATTACGTTGCTATATCCAGTTTAGTTGAATGTTAAGATCATGTCCCCGACACATTTCTTACAGGTGTTGTTGCTTCAGATTGCTGCAGCTGATATTCTTGAAATCTTTGTGAAATCCTTTGTGTCATCTTAAGATATTTTTCTAAGCAATTTAGGGCACAGTTATTCTGAAAATACAACAAAAATCCTTAAAGAATAAAAATAGATTACTCTTTTATAGTTTTAAAAGATCAGCTCTTCGACGTTTTTGTAAGTTTGGTTATCAAATATTTTGGCCTTGAGCATCACTGAGGAGACATTTATTAATTTAATTGTCAAAACGCGCATCTGGTGCAGTAAAATTGGTACCGTGAATGTTTTGAACAAACTTGTATTTCAAAGTTAATCAAATCAAACTAAATCAAATCTTTATTGTTTTTTTAAACTAACACGTTAGTCACAAATACAAAACAAGAGTGCCCACGACGAAATGTCTTTACCGTTTAACTGATTATGATTTATTTCTATGACGTCCTATATAGTTTTTTAAGCAGTCGCTGTTCCATGAAAATGAGTTCAATGACAACTGGCATATGCCAGCCAGAAAGTTTAGAACATATGCAATCCGTAGACAAGATATAATGCATCAAGGTTTCGCATTGATATGAAGTTTTATACAGAAAGTAAATGATGTCACCGTCATGTTAGCATCCCTGTCTCACATTCTGCGACATTTATGGCAAGTGAGACAATATTACATTATAAAGCATATAGCAAATGACCACGCAAATATATCAAGAGTCCCCTGTCTGCCAACGTACCCAACTGATAAATAAAAGTATGAATAGAATTAATGGCTACCAACTAGCCCCACTTATGAATAAAATGATTAAACTGTAATGAGTGTAGGCCTTCCAATTCTGCCCTCTTATGAAAACGTTAGAAATGCATCTTTTTTTTTTGGTTCTTTTCTTTTGGTTGAAATAAAACAGAAAGAAGGTAGCATCAGCATTTATGTGACGTTTTTTTCCTGCATGACATTTTAACATTCAACTACATTAGGAGTGCTTAATATAAATTGGAATTTAAATGTTATCATATTGGTTTCTGATGGATACTTGTCTCATTGGCAATTATAGCAATCTGCTTATTTTTATGTAGATTTCTTATTCTCAATAACATTATATTGTAACGGTTTATTTCTTCCTCTGTGATATTTTATCCTGGGGATAATTTGTCACAGAAATTTACTATTTTAAGTCTTAAAATAAAAGGGTTTACCTTTACGTTGTACGTTAAGTGGGGCGAGTTGGCAGGAGTAATATTAACGGGATTTAACCCTTTTCAAAAGTGGGGCGATTTTTTAAAAAGTGGGGCGAGTTGGTAAACCAGTTGGGGCGATTTTTTTAAAAGTGGGGCGAGTTGGTGAAAAAGTGGGGCGATTAGGTGTGGGGCGATTTGTCCTGCTTCCAACCTAGTCTAATGAATTCTGTGCACGGTTGTTTAAAAGTGTCGTTAGCAAGTCGATAAATTTTACGTAATCGTTAAGTGTTGTTCAAATTTTTTATCGGTAAACGCAGTCATTAAATTTGTGTTAAACCTAATCGCTATTATACCTCGATTAAATCCCACACGCAGTGATAAAGATGGCCGCCTTTGTTCACTTTCATTTTTACATCGGATGACCGTGAGGGCATTCCGGTGTATTGCTGTCGCCTAGATTTCCATTACGTAACTTTCGTGTTGGGATTGTAACCGATCTATAAACATGATAAATACGCTGACATTATCGAGTGCAAAATAACATTCCTTATCGCTTGTTATAAATTCATTTTTTCAATGGATACTCCTAAAAATATTTTTTTAAGAACATAAATTAATAATATGAAAAGGTTTTGTCATTAGAAAATATATATATAAGTAAAAAAATCTTTAATATCTATGCACACGTACAGAAAAGGTGTGTTAACGCATGCGGAAGAATATCTCAAGAACGTTTGCAATCTCCCATGCAGAGTTATCGGTCTTTGCTCTCTCTCAAGGACCGATAACTCTGCATGGGAGATTGAACGTTTGGCGGGAAAATATGAATGCCTACTCAAATCCAATCTATTAGAAAAATCGAATTATTACAGAAGAGCTCCCACCATGCACTTGCACTGCACTATTACTTATAGTAGAATAGAATAAAATACAAATGGATGAAAATTATATATACATGTAACTGTAATATACAAATATGAATATAATATATAACAACAAACCCTGAGAGTATATTTAAGAAATAATTCATGGGGGCTTGAATATATCGTGATTTTACCACGGGTTGGCACTTTATGCTAAATATTTTACCCTGAGCGATAGCGAGGGGTAAAATATCGGCATAAAGGGACAACCCGTGGTAAAATCACGATATATTCAAGCCCCCATGAATTATTTCGATTCTAATAGGACAAATACGGCAATTCTTTTGGATCGATCAGTCGGAAAGCTGACCCCAGTTTGACCCCATTTCTTAAAGCAACAATGGAAGTCATGAGACTACCATATTTGGGCATTTTTGGGGTCGTTTTTTCTTCAACTGAAACGACTCTGTTTCCTCCAAAAAGTCATATCAAATGAAATCAAAGCATGCTGTACGTTACAAATGCCAATTGTGTATACTTTTTAGAAGTTCTCACATAAAAATTGTTTTGATTAAGCGTACTGAATTAGAATACTAAGCCTTCAAACCAAAGGTCGTCACTCGTCGCGTCAAGTTTTTTCAACACATCAGTTGAAATTTCTTTAACTTCTGGGGAACCTATGCTGAATTTAAAATATGTGATGAGGCTTTTTATAAACTGGCCCGTGTCAATATTGTGCCACTTAATACGCTGTAATACGCAAATGTGCCACTTCGATGTGTCGATATTTCTGACGAATTGCGAAGCGGTGCCGACAGTAATTTACGAGTTACGTCCCTTTGTTGACACTTTTCATGAACAAACTTTTTGGTACTATCATATAGGCCTATATTATTATTATTATATTAAGCACCATATGCTGTTATTTACAAGTGGATATTATTAAAATAATTAATTATCTTTTTACTAAATATATTTAATACTAAGGACATATGTAAAACCAAGGATTTACTATACAAATCCTTGGGTAAACACATTTTATAATTTTTACAACAATTTCAGAACTGAAATAGGGCTTTGATATTACAATTTACAGTAAATGTTACTCTGTGCCATAATATATTATTCCAAGAGTAACTTTAATATTTATTTTTTGGTAAATATTTTTACTGCTGTAACCAAATTATATCAACACAGAAATAAATTTCGACTACATAAAGACAAGGATTTGTATAGTAAGACTTACTATACAAATCCTTGATAAAGACAAGGGTTAAAATATGCATGAATACTGGATCTAGACAGGGTTAAAAAGATCACAAACAGGAATTCCTTTTCAATACTGATACCTGATCCTACCTATTTCATATACATTTAAAAGAAATAATAATAAATCAAAGTATTCTCAATGTAAATTCTTCATGATTTGAAATAAAAGGAAATTGGTTTGCAATCCTTGTATGATTAAACTAAATATAACAATAAGTTTTGTCTCATTGATTCCATGCAAGTTCTAATGAATGGACAAAATTATAAAAAAGCCTAAACCAATGGATAATTAAACAAATAATCATGAACTTGCGAATAAATACGAACGAGAAAGATTCGATCTCATATTTTTCTTCTTCTATTTAAAAAAAATAAATAACTATGCATATTAAAAGTATTTCAGAGCAGTTTCTGAGTGCTAAGTCAACAATTATGTTTTAGATCACAAGTCATGAGTAAGTCACACTTCATGTAAGTATGAAAATGCTTTGAATAAGAGTGATTAAAATGCAAGTCTGAAAGAGATTGTTTTAAGTTCAAAGGACAAGACTTTTGCATTTACTTTTGCAGGATTCCTTCATCACAAAAAAAAAAATTCGTAAGGGTTCCGCGGAACCCAGTGTCTCGCCTACTTTTGCTGTTAATCGCAGGCTCAACAAAAATGAGGAAAAAAAATAATAAAAATATTCCTCTCTATACTATCTTTTGATTCTAAGTAGCTTCTGTCCAAGTTTGGTAAAAGTCCAGGATAGTTTATGAATCTAATAAATGTTTTAAAAACTTAAACTGCAGACTGTATGTAATGTTAACTGGAAGAAAAACTAAGTCCATTTATAAGTAAAATACGGAAAAAATGGAACAAAATTTTAACAAAATTTCCTTCTAGATACTAGCTTTTAATCATAAACAAGCTTCTGTCCAAGTTTGGTACAAATCCAGGATAGTTTAAGAAAGTTGTTAAAATTAAAAAAAAACTTTAACCACAGAGTGAATGTAATGTTAACTGGCAGAAAAACTAAGTCCATTTATAAGTTAAATACTGATAAACTGTTTTTTTTTTACAAAATTTACTTCTGGATACTATCTTAAGTTATGATCATAAACAAGCTTCTTTCCAAGTTTGGTAGAAATCCAGGATAGTTTAAGAAAGTTATTAAAATTTCAAAAACTTTTAACCACAGAGTGAATGTAATGTTTCCTGGCAGAAAAACTAAGTCCATTTATAAGTAAAATACGGAAAAAATGGATTTTTTTTTTACAAAATTTACTTTTGAATATTATCTTATGATCATAAACAAGCTTCTGTCCAAGTTTGGTAGAAATCCAGGATAGTTTAAGAAAGTTATTAAAATTTCAAAAACTTTAACCACAGAGTGAATATTTGTGGACGCCGCCGACGACGACGACGACGACGCCGACGACGCCGACGGAATGTAGGATCGCTATGTCTCGCTTTTTCGACAAAAGTCGAAGGCTCGACAAAAATGATATTAACAATGATTCAATGAATGAGTTTTTTTAGTCATCTTAAGGTTGCGCACAGACAGTATTAAAACTCCTTACCTTATTGTTTTAGTTAACGTCAAACATTTCACTTAAAATCTTAATGAGAATAATTTATCCAGTCAAATTCAAAGCTGAACTCGCCATTGCTTATTTCAAACAAACACACTAAATGTCTGTTCAGATGCATGTTGACATCGATGTGTAAGACCAAAAAACTACAATGTCAAAAAATGTCTTTCTTTTGGAATTTAGTTCAAACGGGGTTTCCTAAGGGGTGACAGAACGTA